CAAAATAGTTTATTTTGGTTATTTGGTGGAAATTGATGGCTTATTTTTGTTATTTGGCAGAAATTAATAGTTTATTTTTGTTATTTGGCAAAAGTACTCAGGTTATAAAAATCTATGCCAGAAACAGAAAGGAGTATGAAGTATATATATAAAGTATGGTTTCTTAGAAGTAAAATTTAGTGTATGATTCTTAGCATATGGTTGGGTTATCCTTCATCGTGACTTGTGTAGCACCCTGAACTAATACTTTAAAAGGTACGTACTACCTCTATATATAGATCTTGTAATTGGTTGGTCTGCTGACTTATTCATCATTATATATTTATGATTTGTTTTTTATCAATACATATAATGAATTTATTTTTTTATTGTATCAAAGTTCTAATCTGGTTAGCAATTTAAATATGAAAACTTATTATTTTTTCTTGTAGCTTTTGTGATATTTCTGGTTCATAACTTGCTTTTTTCTGATTTATTTGCACTCTATCTGAATTACTTATTTTTGGTTATCTGTATTATACTAGCCCTGATTTTGCTTTTTTGTTAAACTGTTAATTTGGTTTTCATATAATAATTTGCTATATTAATACCTTAAAATTTTAAATTTATTATATCGAAGTTCCTTATCTCATTATTAATTTGATTAGAATTAGAGATGGGTTTTATACATGTGCATGTTTTCATTTCATGCACATTTTATCCTATCAAAATTTCTCTCCTCTTGATCATTTTTACTTTTTTTTACTTTTTTTTATCATGCGATATCATGTGCATGAAACATTTCGTGTGCATAAATGCTCATTTTTTTCATTACTAATTGAAATATCTACTATTCCTTATTGTGGCTTTGGAATTTGATATTTAGATTCTTGACTCGATTTTTTCTTGTTTAATTTGTACCTATAGCTTTATCACCTATTTTTTGGCATTGATTTGTGAATTACATTGCTGTTTTATCAAGAATGGAGTTTGTACAATGTACAACATAGTATATGTTATATGAATCTGTACAAAATTTTGAATCAGAGAATATGCATGCATTTCAGATTTAAAGTCATCTGGTTTTGATTTCTATATAAAAAAAATGTTAAATTGGATTTGATAAAATATAACAAATGCATGTTTTAATATGTATGAGATTATTTGGTCTGCATTAGCATATCATCTGGCCTGCATTAAATATAATCCAGCCTGCATTAACATTAATGAGCCAGTTTCTAAAACTGGCCACCAAAAAGTTTTGAATATCACATAACAAAGATATCGAGCACTAAAAATTCATGTAGCTTAACAAAAAAATACAACCAAAAAAATTTAAATATTAAGTAATAAATTAATCATTTATTTATTTCAAATAACTTAATAATTATATTATTTATTATAGCTAGAAAGTATTATACTTAGTGTTGTTAGGCGAAACAATTTGGGGCAAATGATGAAAGATGAAACCTAAACCTGGTGAAAGATGAAAGACGAAACTCCTGGCGAAACTAATGAAACCTGGCAAAAGACAAAAAATGAAACTCTCCAGTGAAACTGACAAAACCTGGTGAAACTGTCAAAACTTCTAGCCAAAATCAAAATCTCAAAACTCAGCAAAGATCAAATCCTCTAATACTTTGAAAAAAACTAAGCCATGTGTATGAATAAAATATTTTGTGTAGCTATTAAGTACAGCATGTGGCTTATATAAAAAAGTATAAATAAAGCAATAGCTTTTTGTTTGTATTCAAATACTATTAAAAGAAAATTAGAATTCAAACATTTAATGAAAATAATTTGTGTATGACTCATATGAAAAATGCACAAAGTAATAAACAAAACATTAATCTTAACTCTAATTAACCTAGTTCTAACAACAATAACCAGAATTATATTGTTAATCAAATGACTGTTAGTATATTGTATTGTCAATAAAATGAACTTGTTAGTAAATTGATTATTAATAAATTGTACTGTTAGTAAACTGATTGTCAATAAATAAATGAAACCCTTTTGTTAGTTATATTTGCAAGTAATGATTATTGCCTCTATTTGGAATTATCTGATTACACAATAATGATAGCTTCATTACTTTATTGATATTAATTGTTAGTAAAATAACAGTTGATAAAATAATACACTATATATTTACTGTTTAATTTCATTTTACTGCATTACTATATCAATTATAGTGGGTGACTATGTATAAAGAATATTTAATAAACTATATAAGTTATTAAGTTTTATTTTATACTGTCATATCAATTTTTTACATTTTATGCTCACTGACTAAATTAATGCAAATAGAACTTTTGTGAATTTAATTCAACCAATTGATGCAAAATTTTGTAACATATTTAACAAGATTAATAGTGGTATCAGTCGTATAACATCAATAGTTCCTCTTGTTACTTAATTATGATATGTATATTACAGAATTATGTTATAGTGATATAGTATTGTTATTATAGTATTAAATACTATGTAATAGTATTACAACATTACAATATTACAGCATTGTGGCATTATGGCATAATATTTACAACAATCAAGTAGTGTATATAATTAATTTTACATATTATCTAGTAAAATGCCAAAGCTATAATTTAGTAATTTTATCATCAACACTAGTCTGATCCAGTTATAATAATGTACAGTCTTAAGAATTAATTAGTACAAACTGGTTCAGAATGGGTTGGTCTTAAGATTAAGATCAGACTAATTTTTTTGACTTTCAGACTGGTCTTAAGACTAACTGTAGTTCATCAGTTTAGACTGAACAACATAACATCTCTAGATTAGGGTGCATGATGCACATAAAAGATTATCTTTTTTGCATAGCATATGCTTTGCATAATTAGATAAAAGAAGTTATAAAAATTATATGCATATATTGTGATTAGTAAATGAATGTTTTGAAATAAATTCCATAAAAACCTGATGTAGATTCTGAACAAACATAAAATACAAGAAAATTTTTTGATTAATGTCAAAAGATTCTAAAAAAAATAGACAAGTAATGCATAAATTTAAATATATCACATAATTTATCATATAAATTTGACTTATATTGCATCCATCACATAATTAGTTTTAGCCAAATTGCAAATTGCATAATTTATCTCATTGAATCACATAATTATGAACATTCTAGTACACTATTTTTAATACTGACCATTTTATACACAGATTAGATACTATTAATTATTCAAAATTAGACCTGATATGCAATATGCTTCTGTGATAAAATTAAATTTATGCACTGTTAACACATGATAGCATCTACAAAAAACTGTTATCACATAATAACATAAAACTGTTATCACATGATAACGTTCACAAAACCGTTAACAAGTGATAATGTTCACAAAAAACCATTATCACATAATAACATAAAACCGTTATCATATGATAACTGTTAGTCGTAGTTGAGTTGATTTTATGATAGTTAAATAAAATCAATGTCATATGATAATGTCTACAAAAACCATTATCATGTGATAATATTTATTAAAAAAACCATTAATTTAATACTCCCTGTATTAACATCCTGTATTAACACCTTGCATTAACACCCTGCATTAATATCCTGCATTAACACCCTGCATTAATATCCTGCATTAATACCCCTATTTTCTGCACCCCTGCATATTTTAATTAATCATGTGATGTTTAGAACTTTGCTTAAAAGTAGGTTTGAGTCAACTTCAAAAAATTCTTACTAAGTCAACTCAAAAACCAACTTCAATAAACTTTTTAACAACCCTAATTTGGACCTTATGAGCTGCATTAATAAATGCAGAATTTGAATGTAAAGCTGTCAACTTGATGATTGGAAGGATGAAATCTCATCAAAAAGAATAATGTCATTAAGAACTTGCAAGATTAAATTTAGAAAGTTTTACAATGCCTGGTGGTTGATGTTTTTTTGTAAAATCATCTACAAATAATAATTAAAATTATGAAATTAATATTAAAGATGATGTACAAGAAAACATCAGCATAAAACCTGTGCATTTAAAATGCACATGTCCAGACTTTAGATTTCGAAGAATTGCATGCAAGCATATATTTTCTATATGCCAAAAATTATATTCTGCACCAGTACATGAATCATCATCCTTCCAACAAGTAGAAGAGCCTGAACTTACGAATGTCACTAATGTATCTTTTGAAGATTGGGTAAGTACAATTCAAAAAGTGTATAACTGACATGATTAGGCAGATAGAAATCAAATGACTGCTGCTAATTTGAAGGCAATTATAAATGCAGAAATAAATCGAAAAACCAAAATTGCATTGTATGACAATTGCTCTATTCTCAGCTCGGGGTTAAGTGGAGCTAATTATTCTATTGAAAGACAACGAAATAATTAATAATACAGTATATTAAGAAAAAAAATCCAAACACATATAATTTATAATCATTATCTTTAGATCTCAACAAATGTGTAATATGTAGTATAAGATCCTTTGCGTCTATTTTTTTTTTTTTTATTAATCTTTCATTCTTAAGAACTTGCCTATTATTCAATAATAAAATTATTAAAATTGTTTTCGGTATGTTAAACATGCAAAATTATTAAATCTTGTACTGAATAGTGTAAATGCAAAACTGAATACGTACGTACATGTAGTTACTTTAAAATCGTATGTGTGTATGTGATCTTGTTTTCAAGTTAAGAATACTATTGCTATTTGCGTCGTGCGATATGTGATATAGGCTTAAATATCTCGTGAAACCTTAACTAAACAATTTAGTTCGTAAAATAAATGTCATTTACTATAAATGTTTCGTAGATACATATTTAATATAATAGTCCTGTGATTTATTTTAATTGGTCGGATATGCGTAGATGATCATCAAACATCACGTAAGCTGTTGGGTATTTAGATGCACGCGTTCTTTTTTTCCTCCATGGCTAGGCTATTTAGGGTATTACTTCAGAGTGACTTGACACCTTCTTTTTAGCAAACATGGTAGCATTAACCCTTTAAAGCGTATAGATTCTGGATTCATGGAGTTATTTCTTGAATATTTTGAGACAACGCCACCGGAAAAATACCGATTTCTCGATTATTACCAGTATTGTAAAAGCCAGGATGGGTTCACAGTTAATTTTCGCCAAGAAGCAAAAAGACTTCAAGTTGCCTTGGAACACCTGGTGAAAAATGAATCGGGTTTAAGGAAACAAAAAGCTCAATGTTTGCTTGATGTTTTTGAGGCGAGTATCTTTCATTCCATTTTGATTCCTGGCAAACAGTATGGAGGGCCCTGTTAAGTCCTGAGAAAGGGTACATACTTCCACGACTACGGTGAGCGCGTACGCTCCGCTCACTTTATGGCGTTCATTAGATCCCGTTGTGGTCTACAAGTTTTGTAGAGGTGGGGGCCTCCAGCAGTCCCGAGAAGGGGTAACACTCACACAACTATGGCGGGTGCCTACGTACCACTCGACCTTACGGTGTTCATTAGATCCCGTTGTGGTCTGCTTTGCCAGAGAGTTGTCTGCTTTCCAGTGAGGATAAGATAGTAAAAAATTGGGTATTATAAATCTTGTAGAACCATCGAAAAAAGAACGTGGATGTTGATAAATTCTGGAATGAATTTGAAGGTGAATCTCTGGATATAGAGCATGGCAAAGAAAAAAAACAATTACAGCTGGATCAGGTCAATAATTTATACTTACTTTTATGTTGTTAAATATTACATGGCTAATGATTGTTCTGAATTGCAGTTGAAAATAGCTCGTGTTATGACAAAAGGAACTGAAGATGGCGTTGAAAATATTATGAAAAATGTCAATACGGAACTGGTATGGCAATTTACATGTAACATTGTTAAAAATGATCTACTAATTCAACAAACTTTATGGTTATTCATAGGTTGAGTCAGCTACTTACCTTAAAAGAAGACTAGATGTTGATTACAAAGAAGATCGAGATGGGTACACTACGCCTTATCCAAACTGTCCTATGGTGAATAATCCGGAGGACGAAGAGAAACCAAAGAGACAGACTAAGACTGATGATAAGTCTTGCATTTCATCTGCCGGAACTAGTGATGATATAGTCGGTGACAGAAATGATATGATCCTGTTTATGTATTTTTTTTTCTTTACATTTTCGGCTCAGCCGATTGGTATTAATTTTACAAAGCACAAGAGTGTGGATGACGAGTCCGAAGAATCCGAAGAAAGTGATGAGGAAGACGAGTTGAGGCTAAACGTGGAAGAAATTAGGTTCGAAGAATACATCGATCGCGGGAATAAACCTGTAAGTATATTTGTATCAAAATAAACTGCAAGTATGATTTCGCTAAATCAATAACCGTTTTATAGTTTATTTTCAAAACAAAAAACATATCGTCACTATTTGAGTCATATCGATCCAAAGCGTTAGCTCATGCGCAAAATTCTGGTCTGATAATGACGGAAAATTATCACGAAATACTGTAGGTAGAACTTTTAAATGGAATGTCTTTTTAATGATTAACTTTACTGATAGAGGTTGATCATTTTTTTGAAAATTCAGAAGTCTATCTCATATTCTCTTACTACAAATGGATAATTATTCGGAAATACAAGTAAAAACTTTCTCTAGGGAAATGCTCGAAGATCTCAGAAAGGATATTAAATCAAAGTTAATCAGAAAGAAAAAGTAACAAGGGATATAAAATCAATCCTATAAGAGTATATTGAGGTTTATATTTTTTTATTATCATCATTCTTTTGCAATGTTCCCTTTACTGACTATCTTGCTTAGGTTGCTCTTGATGATAATGATGGTGGTTTATATGAATTTTGCAAAATAATTACTGAATCTTTTTCAAAAGAATTTAATTTAACAGCAAAGAAAGAATTTTTTCAATAATGAAGTTTCTCTTTGAACATTTGTAAGTTTGATATTTCTTAGTTAAGCAACTTTTTGAAATAACTGTTAACAAGATTTTTTTTTGTTATTTTGCAAATCTTATACTATTTTATTGTATTCATTGAAAGAAATTATAAGTGAAGGAACACTTGTAGCAAATATAATAAGTTTGATTTTACAAAATTTTTTTTATGACTTATACATATATTTTATAATATAGTTAAACATATCCAGCACCATTGCAAAGATTTAAAACTTGTCATCAGTGATCCTTTTTGGGACAAACAACCTGATATAATTGGGAAAACTATCAATAATGGTATTTATAAAAAAAATAACTAATTATAAAAATACAAATAAATTTGTTCTAAATATTTTTTTAATATATAGAAACATTTGTTTATACAATGATGTTTGGTGAGATGATAGAAAAAAGCAAAAACATGTGGAAGGCCAGGATAATGATGGTCAGACCCAACGTACAGGGCAGATTATGGTACCTTGCACAGCTGTGAGAGCCAAGCATACGGTGATCGCCCCTGTAGAAGACAATTTTGAAAGATCATTTACAACATCTTTAATTCCCTATGATCTTCATACATGCTTTAACAAATTCCTTCTTTATTATCATTTACCACTTCTCCCTCATGGTCAAACTAT